GAAGACCTCATAACAAACAAATTCACGGACACACCTCGCGTGCAGACATAGCTGGCAACTGGTGCGTGACGCAACCTTTGTACGGTTCATTTTCCTGTAGTTAAGCCGTTCTACTTGATTCCGACTTCCCTGACTTGTGACCTGGTGAACCTTCGGCGGTCGACACTAACAAATTTCGAAACTAGTTCACGATAGTCTCACCCAGAGCCCACTCTATGGGACCCATGGTGGCTGCCATCGTTTGCGTCGGTCGAACTGTCCAATTTTATAGTACTTTATGCCAGCCCTCTGCCAACTGTAATTTCTTTCTCACGTCAAACACCTAAAAGATCCTATGGAAGCAAACGGGCGAGTTCCAGGAAGCAATTTAGCTTGAGGTTTCGGGTTCTCGCTCGAACCCGTCATCGGAGACAGTCACATATAAGGGTATTGGAGGGGGAGAGAGAGTGCAGTATCTATAGTACGTAGTGGCCGCGGGATAACAGGCGTACAATAACTGGCTTCGTGGATGCGCTGAGCCAACACGGGAGCCAGATCAGGGCATGATAGGCATCATTCGAGTTGCACTCCCATAAAAAATGCTGAACACGGGAAGTTGTTGGTGACATGCATAGGTGCAGACTCAGACACCCATGGCATTTAGGGCATTCCACTCCGTGGCGTCTGACACACGCGGCTTTCTTGACACCGGACTCGGACGAGTAAAGGTCTGGTAGATGCAACCGAAATCCACACGCAAGTCACCGTTTCCGCAACATCACGTTATGGAGCACACAGTATGCATCGTCCGAATCGACGGCCGACTATAATTATGAACTTTTGTGATAGCCGCTAGGGATCTAAATTTGTGCAATCCGCGTTGGATATTGGCGTGATAATTACTCGGCAGTTTGGTCTACTGCAACTATCCCTGATTATGGGTTGAAATAAGAATCCGAAACGTCAGGTTAATAGACTGCTTGTTCCAGTAATCGCATCTTATCTTTCTGACCTGAAAGATCTGCTCTATCCACTTGTTTACGCCCCCGTCGCGAGCGGAACTGTTTCCCGCAAACCGTATTTATGATCAACCCGTAAGTATGCGGCTTCCAAGAATGGTTGCAGTTCGTGGTCTGTTTGCTTGCTCCCCCACCACGTCCACTTAATCCTGGGAAGTGATAGGGGAGGAAGGCGTGTGCCCCGATTGTCCCCATTAAAGGTCAAGCCGCGTACAAGGCATCGTTAGTGTCGTAACGCCTCCCCATTAAGCGCAGTGGACAAAACTGTGTGCAGCCTGCGCAATACTTCGACTGACTCCATGCAATTTGTCTTTGATAGTCGTTTGGCGGACCTCACGATAGTCGACTCGCATATCCGTGGTTTCGAATACAGACTAAAATTTATTTGCACCCTTGCCTCCTGCTTGGGGGTTTGACTAGGCTTCTAACATATTCCAGCTCTTTACTCCTTCTAAAATTGTCACACATGGTAAAACTTCATTTTTCTAGCCACCGTTGACAATTAGCCTCTCCTGATGTTTTGCAGCCGGGCCCTTGACCAAACACCTCCTCAACAACAGTATCCTTTGGTCTCATTTTCTCATCCAACATGCAGCCCTTTTGACAGATTGTCAGTCATGTTTATTACGTGACAAATGTCCATAACTTCTTGTTGATTGATTCCTTGAGTGTGTTGGTGAAACTGATTACAAATCCACAAGTACTCATAATCCGATACACATGCTCCATCGAGGCCAAAGTTCTCCGGGGCTGAGATGCACGTCGGATTTAAGCCTTTATTTGGTGTTCTGCACACTCATTAGGTTACTTTGCTGGCAGGCAAACATTAAGCAGCCGGAAACTATCCGCCTATTAAAAACCCTTTCTACTTTTACAATTGTCTGTCTGCAAATTGAACTATTGACAGCCGTTTTAGGCGTGGCCCAATAATGCAGCAGTGAAAATGATTTGCATTTCAGTCCTTTGACGTTCACTTAGTTAATTCGACTTTGAGCAGTAGGTCGTAGCCCAAACTCACTCAAATATCTCCGCAACTGGGATACGGGCGCAGCTTGTCCCAATACCACCGGACCTAATTCGACGTTAGGAAGTTCCGGTTACAAACTCCAATTTCCAAGGTCCCAAAGTGCCATCGAGAGTTTAGCGTTTTGCAAGAAAATACCAGTCTTCGTTGCAGTGGTTCATATGTATGTTCATGTCATTAGTAGTATGCAGTACGCTAGTCGTCACTAAATCCTAGCTTGCGAACAAGTGTGGCGGCAAAGGCGTTGGGATAGCAAGCACGTTTGAGCAAGTGAGTAACGAATCGAATTCCCAGACCAATTTGTATGTGCAATACACTATATGGCAAATAGCTACCCAAAATATCCACGGATTACATTTTCTTGGGGTATGCTTCCATGCACTGGAAAAGACTGGTTATAACTCTTCGCGTGTACCTTGTCCTAAAGACGCTTCGAGTTGATTATGTGTACGAAATAAGACCGTCCATTATGGCCATAAGGCGTTCTCATTATTTAGAGTAAAACGGAGTCCCGCCAAAAGCGCCGCGATCAAGGGTAAGAAGGCAAAAGAGGGTGCAAGAAGATTAATTTTGCTTGTAAAGACAGCTAATAACTTCATCTGGAATGATGGGAAAACCTTGCGAGTAAAATAACTGGTGGTAGATGTAAATCATGACTTCTTCTACAAAATAAATTATGTCTAAAATAAGTACAGGAAGGCAGGTAATCGAGGCTGGTTGACGTTTGCGAAAGCCATGGATTGTAGGCGGAGCAGGAAATGAGGCGGGGATGGAACTTGCATATAAGCTAGCAGTTCAGAACATGCAATCATGAAAATGAGAGTTTAGAAGAAAGGCAGTTGTGTGTACACGCGCGCCGACTTTTGATCCAGGGAGTCAGCCGCTGCACACACGTACGTCCACTGACCGGAAGTCTTCGGGTCGTTTGGATATATTATACCGGGCGTACTGTGTCCAATGCGAGGTCTAGTCGGAATTGCTCATCATGAATGCCCACGTTGACCAAGCTACACTCGATCATGACTAGTGTGTTCTTGGTGAGGTTGGGGAAGACGACAGCCACCAGAGGTGATTCGTAGTCGTCTTGATTGATGTACGGAAAGAATATGGACTTAAAGGCTCCCCTGTAAAACAAAGATCACACAGTAGGCTACATTGGTAAATACTTTATTAGGCACACAAAATCACATCCAAGCCCAAATAACCCATGCAGTACACCTAATGTACCCATCTACGTACAACTTAGTTAATTTGTTGAAGTTTTTGCGTATGGCAGGCAATATCTAAACATGTGTAAGTCAAGCTCCAACCATTTATCGTTGCTCTTGCAGAAGCCACAGTCTGTCTTGTTCTCAATATTGGACGGTTATATGCCCAGTGTTATAATTCTTTCTGGATACGACGGAACATAATACAATCATACTTTTGGCCAAATGCTTAGGCGTTTTTTATTTAACAAGTGTCCGAACCTACAATTTATGGAAGAAAGCTTGCCTCTTAGACTTTAGGAGGGAGCTACAGTTTTGCTTTAAAATACCTCCACACGAAAGGGTCAACCATGTTTGACAGCAATGGCAAAATAATACCAGCTTTGGCTTCAAATGGATAATTTTACTTGGCGAATAACTGAGTAGCTTTAACATTTTTGTGATGTTTTTGCAGGGGAAGAAATGCCATTTCAGTGATGAAATGGCCTAAGCAAAGCCGATTTTTTAAGACAATGGCGCTTTAGAAATTAAAGCTACTTTTGCTTTCCCGAAGGATTTTGCTGATTGCGAAGAACAACAGTTTCTGCAAGGGCTGGTCACTAGAAAGGTACCACTAAGTATAAGTGATCTACCTATTAGAAATTTTTCTTTTAAATTGGTATTTTAAAACGTTTAAGCTTTGTAAAAATAAATATTTTAAGCCTCTGAGTCTATCTGGTTCATTTGAATAAAAACTTATAAAGACAAGCGCGAATGAACTATCTGACGTTTGTGAATTTCACCCCAATTTTCGACGAAACTTTATTGTGGGCTTTTAGAATGTGCCAGCAACCAAGGAACACGCTAAGATTATTTTCCTTGAAAACTTGGCAGTTAAGGACAGGAAAGTTAGACGTACATTGTCTTGTTGTTCGTAGCTGCAGGGTAATACTCAGGCTCCCCTAGCTGCTCGCCATCAAAAGAGTTCTGAAATTAAAAACAACGAATTAATAGATGAGAGTGACCTTCAATTTTATTAAGTTTTTTGTCCTGAGTGATAACGTAAAACGTATTAGGGTAGACAAATGCTGAATCTTATAAAAGGTAATACGTACAGCTGGACCGCATCGCATAGTGACTTCCGTTCCGTTGATGTCTGGAAGCCATCCAAATACCTGGAATTAGAAAGAAACTGTATCAAGGAAAATATTTCTAACGCCACTTTTGGCAGCAATATTCTGAAAAGTTTGCAGTTTTCTGTTGTTACTTATAAAAATTGAACTGCAAACGAAAATGCTCATACCTTGTTCATTTTGACATAAATGCAGAGCTTTTCCTGTGCAAGCATGTCACTTGGGTTGGCACATGCGCCGAGAAGAGTTTTGGGAAAGCGACAGACGTCTCTAATATCGCCACTGGGTGGAGTTGGTTTGCTAAAATCGCAGTTGGGGTCATTAACATAGTTTTTCAAGAATTCGTTGGTTGCGTTAAGGTACCACGTCCGCGTGTAACTGTCGAATGTAGACACTTGAAGGAGTGGTCTGTCGACATCGACACGCGGCAAATATCCCAAACCTATTCGATTTCAGTGTTAAACAAAGTCAGAGACAAAAATAGAGTTAGAAATTACACACGGGAGCGATAGAGAAAGCAAGAAAACCCTTATATGGTTCAGACAATTCGCCTCCCTTGGAAAAAGCATAACTACGGTCAAATGGAAGCAACTCTTTGTGAAATAAGTTCTTGCTGGAATTTCATATTCCACGCAATTTTTAACTGCATAGTCTGTTACCTGAACAAAGTGTAGTGCCTAAACGTAGTGTACGCAAAAACGAGCAAGATGACAAATCAATTCTTATGAGCATTTTTTATGTAATTCCACATTTTTTCTTGTCATAGTTTTCCTTCTCTTCACATGTGGGGATAACATCACAATGAGCTTTAACAAAATTGCCTTAACACAAGTGTTTAACTTTTTATGAGTGACAAAAGAATCCCGGTAGAGCACATAGAACAATCATATCAATATCCGCACAACAACAAAACACTGGTCTTCAGACATTGTGCTGTATATTGTTGTCAACTGCCAGCACTTAGTTTATACTTCAAAACTTCATGTGTCAGGCTCCTTGTGACTTTACTCTTCGACCGGACACTGGATGTCCCTACCTGTTCCAAATTAATTACGATGATATCTTTGCAGGTGCAACATAAAAAAATGTTTTGATCAAAATGTTCCGGAACTTTATAAAAGGGCATTTGACTCTAAATTATATATGTATAATGCATTACAATCTCTACTGGTGTTTGGAAAACAGCAAACTAATTACCCTGTAAACACCAGCCCCACCTAGGTAGCCGGGGCCAGGTGGGGCAATCCGGGGCTAAGGGTTAA